TATCCTGTGTTTAAAAATGTATGTCTTCTTTTACGGTTAACGTGCAACTCTCGTGAAAGATAAATATGTAGTTTAAAAGTAAAAGTTGTATATAACAATGGCAAGTGTGTATATCTTATATATTTATTTATATGTGTACTTAGGCACATATTAGAAAATCAAAATATATATATATATATATATATATATATATATATATATATATATATATCTTTACTATATTATTAAGGATATTGCCTATTTCTTGAAAATTAAGAGGTACAACATATATTACCTCATGTACAATGATATTAAGCATATAACCAATATACTTATTATACTACACAGATGATGTACGTATTACTTAATCTCCTAAACACGCACAGCTGCCATCTAACCTATTCACATCGACACCACCAAAGATGCAGTGAAGACTTCCCCTTTCCAACTTCATCCGATGCTTCAAGGGAAACAATGCCCATGTGGAGTGGAAAGAAACCCCGGAGGCGCACGTAGATCTGGTCCGCGCACGTAGATCAGGGCAATATTTTTTTAGATCTTTAGCGGAGGCGGTGATGAACCGATCTGTGCGTCAGGAGAATTTTAAATTTGGATTTTTACATCGATTTGGGGGAATTTTTAGATGGAGACGATGATTGATCATCTGGCAACGAAGATCAGAAACTACAAGCACAATCATGTCCTCTTCGTTCCGTCTCCTTCCTAATCGCCTCCACTGTCGGTGACACACTGGCCATTCACCTGCCAAGCTTCCTTTTCCGCCTGATTTCTCCAGAATCGAAGATGTTTCGTTGCTTTCCATCAGAGAAATTTATGCAGTAATCGCGCACCCGTTTCGGCCACTCTCACTTTCTTCGCCCTCCTATCTCGACCTAATAAACGATGTTTTACTGAGCAAGAAATCCAAATTGAAGATCTTGAGGTGTTTCTCTTTCTCCATCTACATCAACGATGTTTTACTTTGTCCTTTCTCCATGTATGGGTTTCAAATTTTCTTACTTTTGTGATTAGGGCTTGCAGAACACCAGCAAAATTCTTAAGAGATTTCAATTTCTCTTTATCTACATCAACAATTCTTGCTGGAATAAAAGGTAACAAAGTAAATGCATTATCCTTTTTGGTTCTTTTTTTGACTACTGAGTTGTGTTTCATTTAAATTGTAGTAGTTTGGTTTACCAAATTGTCTTTTTATGATTAATGTTGAGGTTGATGGGTTTAATGGTTTGAATATTTGGATGGGGGTTAGAATTTGAACGATCACGTATTTTAGGTTCAACATTAAAGTTTTACGTTTTGAATCCTTTTTTAGATGCAAGGGTTAAGGGGCATCAAAGTAAGAAGACTTTTATGATGTTTGCAACTAATAACATTGGGTCGGTTTTTGCTTTCAACTAATAACACAAGGTCGGCATTTGATTCCCGATCCAAGTCGTTGTTTACATTAGCCCTAAAAAAAACTATTTGCACCCGTCGCTTAGCGCGGGTAAACGGCTAATATATATATATAGGTTCAGGTTCATTTGAAACCATTCTAATTTTGTGAGACCAAATCTAAAAATAATTTTAAAATGCAAAATAAATGGAAAAATCTAAAAATTCTTTTTTTAAATATTATTTTCGGAACTTGAATTAACTAAAAAAAAAAATTTCCGTTTTTTTTTTTTTTTTAAATCAGTGAAATATTCTAATTGGAATATTACACTGACATATTCTAAAAAATAATTTTAAAATGCAGAATAAATGGAAAAATCTAAAAATTCTTTTTTTAAATATTATTTTCGGAACTTGAATTAACTAAAAAAAATAAAAATAAAATAAAAATAAATAAAAAAATTCCATTTTTTTTTTAAATAAGTGAAATATTCTAATAGAATATTACACTGTCATATTCTAAAAAATAATTTTAAAATGCAAAAAAAATGGAAAAATCTAAAAATTCTTTTTTTAAATATTATTTTCGGAACTTGAATTAACTAAAAAAAATATAAAAAATAAAAAAATGCATCTTACGGTCTCACAAAATTAGGCCGTCTCACATGAACCTAACTCTCTCTCTCTCTCTGTATATATATATATATATATATATATATATATATATATATATATATATATATATATATATATAGAAAGAGAGAGAGAGAGAGAGAGAGAGAGAGAGAGTGAGTGAGTGAGTGAGATTCAATAAACAACCATAATTAATAAGGAACCAACGAACCAATCGTGAGCATCGGAAATTATAATGATCAACGACCAAGGAAATAGATGTATATTTGTACAGTGGATGCACACACAATGGATTATACCAAAAAAATCCACCTCTTTATCAAAAACTCTACCTCTTTTTTTTGTTTAAAATTTTTTTAGGCCACATTTTTTTAAGAAAAAAACCGAATATACGGTTCTTCTCGATTCTTCGTCCTCTTTCCATAGAGATCCATGATGATATATAAAAAAAACAAACTTTTTTTTCAGAAAAAAAAATCACTTCATTTTGTTAGTTTTTTTTAATACTTATGTTTACTTTTATCAAAAAAAAAAAAAAAAAAACTAGTTATACCAAAAAATATTAAGTTTTTGTATTCTATTAATAAACATCAAAACCGACTAAAAAATAAATAAATAAACATCGATCAGTGTAGATTTATATTGTGAATCTAAATTGTAAATATTTCAATTTTAGTATTCACATTGTGAAAAAGTTTGATAAGTTCAGATTCACATAGTGAATCTGACTTGCTATTATGCACACTATGAATCTGAAAAGGATTATAAAAAAAAAACTTCGATCAGTGTAGATTCATACTGTCATTCTAAACTGTAAATATTTCAATTTGTAACATTCACGACGTGAGAAAGCTCGATCAGTTCAGATTCACATTGTGAATCTATCTTACTATTATGCACACTATGAATCTGGAAATGTTGACAATGTGAATCTGAACAAGTTCACAATGTGAATCTGAAGAATATGAATCTATGTTTAAAAAGTACAAAAAAAACATGATTTTTGATATATTTATTAAGTTTTTTCTATAAAAAAACTAGTCCTAAACTTTTCAACAAAAAAATGAAGTGAGTTTTTCTTGAAAAAAAAAAGATCGTCTTTTATATATCATCATGGGTCTCTTTAGAAAGATGACAAAAAATCGTGAACAACGGAATAATCGTTTTTTTTTCGATAAAAAACATGGGCTAATTTTTTTTTTAACGAAAAAATGAAATGAGTTTTGTTATAATCTGGTGCGTGTTCGTCTATTGTAAAAGTATACAACACTTCCTTTTGCGGTTGATCGCTTTAAATTTCGACGCTTTGGATTGGTTACTTGGTTCCTTAATTAATAATGGTTCTGTATTGAACTTTTTCCATATATATATATATATATATATATATATATATATATATATATATATATATATATATATATATATATATATATATATATATAGAGAGAGAGAGAGAGAGAGAGAGAGTGAGTGAGAGAGACATAAGTTCAATTAAAAAAAAATTAAAAATGTTGATAATTGAGAAATCATTTTCAGTCACTCATTTATTTTTGCTGCAAAAGTCTCCATCATACTGACGAAAATGGGAAAGGAATACACATGTATTTTCCAACAAAACATGTTTCCTTAAATTATTTTAATCATTACCTTAATAAATATATAAAAAAAATAGTTTTTTCGTTTTTTTAAATATTAATGATTATTTTTTATCAAAAAATGGTTTTAAATATATCAAAATTCATAATTTTTTATTCTCTATAAATAGACATCCATATTGATATAGTTTTAAGATAAATTAATTTTTTTTAAAATTTTGAGCTATCGTTGTTAATAAGTTAATAAAAATGCATTAGATTTTTACTATAATACATTCGTTATTCATTTATGAATAAAAAAAATATGATTAACTTTTTTTTACAATTTAAGTATCGTTTATACTACTTATTCATATATGAATAACAAATTAATTGTAACAAAAATATGATAAATATTTTATTTATATATGAATATAAAATAGACAAAACTTCAAAAATGGTCCCTGTGGTTTCCAGAAATATCAAGTTTAGTCCTTAAGTTCAAAAAACCTCACAGATGGTCCCTGTGGTTTCAAAACTTTTAACAAATGGTCCCTCCGGCTCACTCCGTTAGCATTTCACCGTTAACTCATTTTTTAATAAAATATTGCAGGGGTAATTTCGTCATTTCAGTTGTAACCTCCTCTCTTTAATATGAAATGATTACTTGCTTGCACATCACTACCCGTCCCTCTCCCAAGAAGATAACCAGTTACAGGTTTAGTCATCGGGTTCATTCCCATCGTAGAAGCAAGAACAGAAATTGGGATTTAGGGTTTTAAGCTGCAGAAATTGCAATGGTGCTATCAATATGGTGTTTTCGAGAAAAATTTGTAACCGTGGAGGACTTAGGAAAAACATACGGTACAATACTACAACAAAACTTGTTTTTTCTTGGTCTATTGTGTTGACGTAAGGAAATCATTGATTTTACTCTTTCTTTTTTTTGTGTTTACAGAAGGTTATGAGAACTATTTCACGTTGAAGATACACTACAGTGGTGTCTTCACCAAAGCACCTGGAAGGAAATACGTTGATGGTGTTGTAGCATATGTAGATTATGTTGACACTGATTTATTTTCAGTTCATGAGCTTGACGACATGGTTCGAGAACTAGGGTACAAAACTGAGCAAACCCTTTACTACCATTTCTGTATCCCTGAATACCCTTTGGACTATGGCTTAATGCCTTTAGGTAATGATCAAGATGTACTTAAAATGGTATCATATGTCCCTAAACACAGACTTATTAGGGTGTATATTGAAACTGGTCAGACAAGGGTAGGTAGTTATTACAAGTCTCCTTCTAAAGTTGTTATTGAAGAGTTGGAGCCTGATAGTGTGTCACCTGAAATGAATAGAAAGAAACCTTGTAGGAGAGAAGCAGGCTCATGTAGTAGAAAGCTTGATCTAAACAAGTCTATGAACCCTGATTATGAGCAGTCACAAGTGTTAGATGTTGATGAAGGCCATGATTACTCAAAGAGTATTGTACCATTTATAAGGTCACAAGGTAAACAAAGTCATGTCATTCAAAAGGAAGTGGTGAATCATGAAATTGAAACTCAAGAAGAAGTGATCACTAGTGCAGTTGAAACTGAAGAACAATTGGGAACTTACCATGTACAGGAACCAAGCTGCCAAGCTGATAATGGAGCTAATACTACAACAGTTGATGACTATGAACCATTTGTAGAGGATTACTCACTTTATGCTGATTATGATGCTGAGTTTAATGTTCAAACTTCATTTGAAAAACAACCAGAAGTGGATTATCTAGAGGGTATGGTGAGTGATGATAGTGGAGATGCTTTCTACTCTGAGAGTGGCCATGGTTCTGAGGATAGTGGAGATGATTCTGATGACAGTGAATACAATGTGGATGAGTCTAACATACAATTTGATGTAGATGTAGACATGAGTGAATTCCATAATGTTGTTGATGTAGATGAACATGGAATCTTGAACAATCATTCAAAAGATGATGGGATTGGAGTGGTTGACTTTGATAATGAGTTGGAAGTTATTGCCACTGATGATTATCAATTTGCAGGATTTCATGAAGATGATAGGAAGAGACTGCTAAAAGAGTTGAGTAAGTCAAGTACATGCTCACATGGAGAGGTTCATGTTAAACCATTTCAGATTGGTCAGGTCTTCAAAACCAAGGTTGATGTTAAAAACTACATGAACTCACATGCTGTAGCAACAAGGAGGTCTTTATACCTAGCCAAAAATGACAAAATCCGGATTAGGGTGAAATGTAAAGGTGTTGTAAGTAAGCCTTCTACAGGAGTTGATAGTGGTGGGCCCTCAACCAGAAGTAGGGCAAAGTGCAAGGGTAAAGATGTAATTGCCAATAAAGGTACATGTCCATGGGCAGTCCAAATATCGAGGGCTAATGAAAATCAGGATTGGTTGGTGAAAACAGTACAGGATGAGCATAAATGTTTGCAAACAAGGGCGGTTAAAGCTTGCACTTCCAGATACGTAGCAAACTTAATTGTTCAACAAATACAGAGTAACCTAAAATTCCAGTGAAAGCTTTACACGAAGAGTTGTGCAAGAAACTGGAGGTAGGAATGTCATTGCAAAAGGTCGCTAGGGCAAAGTCAATGGCTGAGCGTATCATTAGTGGGGACTACCAAGTACAGTATGGATTTTTGAGGGATTATGTGTTGGAGCTACTCAACACTAATCCTGGTACAACAGTTAGGATTGATGTGTATCCAGAAACCTCCCTGTCTGTTACCACAAGAACTTTTAGAAGAATATATGTCTGTTTAGGTGCATTGAAGTTAGGATTCAAATCTGGATTAAGAGATTTTCTAGGTCTGGATGGTACTTTCATGAAGGGCCCTTACCCTGGGCAAGTGTTAACTGCTGTAGGGTTGGACTCAAACAATGGCATATACCCTGTAGCATATGCAGTGGTAGAGACAGAATCAACAAGTAGCTGGACCTGGTTCTTGGAACTGTTAGGAGAAGATCTGGATCTGGGACCAAATTCAAACTTTACCTTCATTTCAGATAGACAAAAGGTGTGTACCACCTAACTTTTTTATTACCTTTACTAAATACATTTGGTTAACTAATGTTGATTACATTGACTTTTGTTTAGGGAATAATACCAGCAATGGAGAAAGTATTCCCTAGTGCAGAACACAGGTTCTGTTTGAGGCATATCCAAAAACATGAAGAAGCAATGGAAAGGAAAAGACTTAAGTGACCAGCTTTGGAGTGTGGTAGAGCAACAACAGTCAATCATTTTAACAGAGCAATGGATGAGTTGAAGAAGATCAATGCAGAGGCTCATGCTTGGGTGTCTAAGATCCCAGCAAACACTTGGGCTAAATCTCACTTTAGTGGTAAGTTTCTAGAAATTTATTGAGAATTGTTAATCTTCCCTTTTGTGTGTTTACTATATGTGTAATTGTCTTCTGTTAATATATATTATTCAGGAAGGGCACATACTGATTGTTTGTTGAATAACCTTTGTGAGGTATTCAATTCAAAGCTAGATGAAGGTAGGGATAAACCTATTATCACTTGCTTAGAGTATATTAGAGAGTATCTCATGAAGAGGTTATGTGTGGTGCAAAAGGAAATAGATAAGTGTGAAGGACTTCTAACCCCTACTGCAACTACACTGTTTGAAAAGATTAAGGCTGATGCATCAAAGTATGTGGCTAAATACAATGGGGCAGGGAAGTACCAAGTGGCAAGCACATGGCAAGACCAATATGTGGTAAATTTGAATGATCACAGTTGCAGTTGTAGGTTTTGGGAGATTACAGGTTTCCCATGTAGACATGCTGTTTGTGCTATATGGGACAAAATTGAAAATGGTGAAAATGCCCCACATGTTGATGAATGGGTCCATCCTTGCTATAGGTTATCAACATGGAAAGCCATGTATTTCAACAAAATTGATCCATTGAATGGACGTACAATGTGGCCTAAAAGTGACTGCCCATTCACTTTACTTCCACCAAAACATAAGACACAGGTTTGTATTTAAAGTACACAAAATATATAGTATACATGTGAACATGGAATGAATTCAATTTTAACTATAGTATATCAACATGTGTAGGTTGGGAGGCCTAAAAGAAGAGAAGAAGGGGTGTTGATGAGCCAAACAGCCAAGCTGGTAGATTGAGCAGGAAATATTTGGCAGTCACTTGTTCAAAGTGTCATAACAAAGGGCACAATTCCAGAACATGTAAAGGGCAGGGAGGCAGTGGTGAAGTTGGAGGAGGCTGAAAATTGACTTTTTAGTGGTTATTAGGATGTTGGTGTTGTAGGTATTTAGAAACTTATGTAATGTGTACTTGTTTGAAGATGTGTTAAGAACTTGAAAACTTTGCATGTAATGGTGTGTATGCACTTTTTGGATCATGGTTGTGTTAAGAACTTTATAACTTTGAATGTAATGGTGTGTATGCACTTTTTGGTGATGAATTAATATGTTTTGTGTACTACCCTTCACTTCACATATCAATTAATAACAATGTACATTTCAATTGCAAATGAAAACCATCTTCAAGATGCAATTACAATACACTTAACAATTACATTTCAAAAACATTCAAGAAATTGAACAATGAACTATAACAAACTACATTCCATTACCATTACCATTACCACTGCATTACACATTAATCTGATACGTAAACCAAATACAACACCACCAATTCCAAAACCACCTACATAAACTGAAAGCAAAAAAACCCCTATCCGATTAAAATAAAAAAAAAAACCTGCAATGGTTACAAACCAAAAACCAAAACTCCATTACCATCCAAACCTTCAGAAGATATTTAGAGATTAAAATAATACCAAAAAAAAAAACACCCATGAACAAAACAACATCAGCTAGTAGTTCCACAATTCTGCAGTTAAAGTGGCGACCCTCTCCTCCAATCGATTCATTGATCTTATCAAACCTGGAATCACCACCAATGCCCTAGCACACATAGGGGGATCAGACCATCGAATGAAACCACATCTTTTACAGTTCCAAAATTGCCTTCCACGGTTACAATCCGTCCATGAAGTGATCTTCGTTGCTTCATTCCCACATCTGCAAGTCACCATCTTTGAATCAGAAGCGATTGGATGTCGTGAAGGGTGCAACGGTCGAGCAACAGTGGAAAGGAGGAGAGATGATCGACTGATGAAGCTAAAGGATTTGCCCAAAAATCAGACATGCAATTTCTTTTAAAGAGAGGAGGTTACAACTGAAATGACGAAATTACCCTTGCAATATTTTATTAAAAAATGAGTTAACGGTGAAATGCTAACGGAGTGAGCCGGAGGGACCATTTGTTAAAAGTTTTGAAACCACAGGGACCATCTGTGAGGTTTTTTGAACTTAGGGACTAAACTTGATATTTCTGGAAACCACAGGGACCATTTTTGAAGTTTTGTCTATAAAATATGACGACAACTAATACACGTTTTATTCATATATAAATATAAATATGATAAAAGATGATGTACAAAAATATTTTTTAAGTAATAAAACTTTATTATGTATTATATTAATATATGAGCGATACTCAAACTATAAAAAAAGTTAAGCATACGTTTTATTCATAAATGAATAACGAATGTACTGTAATAAAAATGTAATGATTTTTATTTATTTATGAAAAACGAGAGCTGAAACTTAAAAAAATATTATTTTATCTTAAAAACTATACCAATATAGATGTCTATTTATAGAGAATAAAAAATTATGAATTTTGATATATTTAAAATAATTTTTCAATAAAAATAGTTTTCTAAAAATAAAATATTAAAAGTATGTTTTTATGTATATATATAAATGTAATGATTAGTATAGTTTAAGGAAACATGTTTGGTTAGAAAACACATGTGTATCCGTTATCTGTTTCTGTCGGTACGCCTAAGTGTTTTGCGGCAAAATAAATGTGTGGCTGAGACCATTATTAACCATCCTTTATGGAAAGAGGAGGAAAAATCAAGAACAACGGTATATTCAATTTTCTTTTTATAAAAAATGTGACCTAAAAAATATTTTAAATGAAAAAAATAGGTGAGTTTTTTGGTAAACAAGTGGATTTTTTGGTATAATCCGATGTGTATGCATCCAATATAAAAATTGACATCTATTTCATTGGTTGTTGATCATTATGACTTCCGACGCTCACGATTGGTTCATTGTTAATTATGGTTTTCTATTGAACTTAACCCTATATATATATATATATATATATATATATATATATATATATATATATATATATATATATATATATATATATATATATATATATATATATATATATATATATATATATATATATATATATATATATATATATATATGGTTCAATAGAGAACCATAATTAACCAAGAAACCAATGAACCAATCTTTTTTTTCAACTTTTAGAACTTGTTTTTTTATCAAAAAAAAAAACTAAAAATACAGAAATTCATAATTTTTTTATCCTTTTTCCAATGATATAAAATTCGAATTTTTTTTACGTCAAATTCACAATGTGAATCTTCGAAAATTCACAACGTAAATCCGGATTCACACAGTGAATCCGAAAAATATTTTTCACATTCACAATGTTAATATATGAATGTAGATATTTTTATATTTTTTTTTTCGATAAAGAATAAGCTCTAGAAATTGAAAAAAAAGATTTGGTTCATTGAAAAACCCATAATTATGGTTCTCTATTGAACTTTTCCCTATATATATATATATATATATATATATATATATATATATATATATATATATAATGGTGAGATCCATTGATAACTCATTGATTTCTGAGAACCCAAGAACTAAATATGGAACGTTAAATCAAAGTTAACTAAAAATACAGAAATTCATAACTTTTTATCCTTTTTCCAATGATATAAAATTCGATTTTTTTTTACATCAAGTTCACAATGTGATCTTCGAAAACTCACAACGTTAATCCGGATTCACACGGTGAATCCGAAAAATATTTTTCACAATCACAATGTTAATATATGAATTTAGATATTTTTAGATTTTTTTTTTCTCGATAAAAAATAAGCTCTAGAAATTGAAAAAAGAATTAGTTCCTTGAAGAACTCATAATTATGGTTTTCTATTGAACTTTTTCTCTCTCTCTCTCTCTCTCTCTCTCTCTCTATATATATATATATATATAAGAAAATTGCAAAAAAAAAAAAAAAAATCATATGTACGGTAGATATGCACATTTTTTTAAAAAAAAAATGTATGTATGTACAAAAAAAATATGAATATGCATTGAAAATACCTTTTTTTTTTGAAAAAAATCCTAATTAAATCTTAATTTCGAAATATAAGGTATATTTTCACTTTTTGAAAAAAATAAATATATATTTTTTATTTTTTAAATTAACGAAAATATTTATTACATTTCGAAATTAATATTTAAAAAAAGAAATTATCAAAAAATGCATTTTTAATGTGTGTGTATATATATATATATATATATATATATATATATATGTGTGTGTGTGTGTGTGTATGCATATTTTTAAAACATATGCATATGCACATGAACATTTAAAAAAACATTTTAGAGTCTTTATATGCATTAGAGTATATATATATATATAAATAGATGAATACGTATATGAATACTTCATATAAATATGCATGAATATAAGTATATGCATAAGACAATTAAAAAAATATGATTATTATGTATACACATATGCATAATGATTAATATATGACATATGTATATTTATAAGTATATACATATGCATATTCATATACTTATTCGTATACGTATGAATAAGTATATGAATATGCATATGTATAAGAATAAGCATAAGAGATATACATATCAATATACATATGCATTTGCATATACATTGTTACTAATTCGTTTGAATGAGGTCAAGCTTCAGTAAAAGGCAAATTTTTGATTTTATATTTTGATATCTATTTAAAAATAGGAGACAGTCTCACCAAACACACACATATATATATATATATATATATATATATATATATATATATATATATATATTTTATTGTGAAATAGAACCACAACTTTTTTACATTACAAAAGAATTAAACAAAAAGAAAAAAATAAAACATGAAGTGACAGGGGTATAATTGAAAAAAGATTAGTAATCTACTTGTTTTATCAAATTACCTAAAAAAAGATTAATAATCAACACTCAAAGTAGCCAAATCCCAACTAAATTTTATATGAAAACGAAATCAACAAAACATCCTATTAATTTTAAAAATAAATACGAGGATTGGTACTTAGGAACAAAGAAAAAAAAGAGATTAGAGGACATGAAAAAAGACTAATCACTGTAAGTTTCAATCATATGTTCTAATCCACTTACAAGCTTACTTAGACCTATCAACAAGAAAACATGACAAAAAACACTTTTGTCATGATAGAAATATAGAATACCAGTAATGTAAAATAAAATATGATTATAAGATGTGAAAAAACGAAGTTTTCTGAATTCAGAGGACCCTAATTTAATAACATATGCATGAAGAAACTCAACAAAATCACTCCCATAAGAGTGGATTATAGACACAAAAGTGACCATATCAGGTGTGAAGTGATCACGAGTCATTTTTCTGAATAGCTTAGTCACATCATGAGATTTCTGGTCTTTGACGTATTTTAAAATTTTGATTATTTATAGCTTCGAAATCAGGCGATTAATCAAGAAAATTCATATCAGGTGATTACTTGCAGGTGGGCTTGGAAGTAAAAACTTTCAGGAAAAATCACGAAAATTAATATCAGGTGATTAATCATAGAAATAAAAACAATTTTGTGTGTAAACATGTAGGTACGAGAAAGAGTCAATAAGTATCAAAAAATTTCAAGAAAGTTGCAAAAGAACAAACAGATAATTGATGGGTTTACTTCTGAATAACGAGTGATTAAACTATGAAAATATTCACATGGGGATTAAACAAAAAAACACTTAGAGGGCATGAAAATAAACTAAAGAAACCACAAAGTTGTGCATAAGAACAACATGATTCATCAAATAGCTTAATAGATCACGATTTTGAAGGTTTTAGTGAAACAAATAGGAAAATAAAAAACAATGCCTCATTCAAATGCATAAGATTTTCTTTGATTTTTTTTACTCCAAATTAATGAGTTTTCAGTCTTTATAATCAAACAATGATTTAGTAATTAATTTGATGATCATAAAACATGAAATTATGACTAATTGGAGTAATTTCATTGCAAATAAATCAATCCTAAACCTTATAAGAAAGAAAAGAGATTGAACCAATAAAACCTCATATCTACCTAACGTATACATGAAACAGAATGTTGTTTTGGACAAAATTTACAATCAACAGTTCGTTGAAATCACATATCAAAGAGAATTTTGGTTGTACTGAGTGACGATGACAGTGGATACGCCAATAAAAGGAGCCACAGCCTTTGAGTTTCCGACGACTGTGATACAGAAGGAGTTGTGGATTCCATACATAGTGGGAAATTTCCAATGTTAGGATACAATAGGGATACAATCGATTGATATTGCAGAAGGATTGGTGAAAATAATAGCGGGAAAAGTAATGGATTTATGGGTTCGTTGGTTGAAGTTCGTTGTTGAACTTGCTTATATATATATATATATATATATATATATATATATATATATATATATATATATATATATATATATATATATATATATATATATATATATATTATATGGAAAATAAAAAACCCTAGAAACCTTAAAAATGTATAAAAAATACTTTCAGATTACAAATCTTTTTTTTTTACTTTATATTACTAAAAATCGTTTTTTTTTAATTTTATGAACCCAAAATAATTTTTTATGGTTTTTAGAGTTTTTTATGGTTATTTGTTTCCGTAGAACCTAATTCTCTCTCTCTCTTTATATATATATATATATATATATATATATATATATATATATATATATATATATAGATATAGATATATATATATATATATATATATATATATATATATATATATATATATATATATATATATATTAAAAGCATAACATGCTTATGAATAGTAATTGTGGTTTCCGGTTTTGCTTGGATCATTGGGTGGTTTTGAGACGATCGATGGCTCTATTTTTGTTGGCCATCTGGTTTTGACTTATTCGTCCACATGTGTCTCCAATTTGAGGCGGTTTGTGTCTCTTTGTATTTGTGTGTATGTTCAAATAGAAACA